ATTGTCCAACTTTACAGTCCTTCTTGTTAAGTGCTCTGTCATGGCCCATGGGCCTGGTGGCCAGGCATGAGTCTCCTTTGCCATGCCGCAGCTGCTGGATTGAAAGTTGCCCACTCTTAGGCACCATTTTGCCTCCACTGATGTCCTCGCCACTATGAGTCCTCACTGGACCTCGCCAATGCAGACATCACCGATGCTGCCAGGTACTACACTGGCCCAAACTCGACTCCGTCAACGCCATGAGTCCTCTTTGGGCCAACCTCACTGATGCAGTCATTGCTGATGCCACCAGGTCTTGCACTGGGCCCAAACTTGCCTCCATTGCCGCCTCCATGAATCTGCGCTGGACCCAGACGCCACCAGGAACCTAAACTCACCTCCGTAGCAGCAGCCATGAGTCGGCTCTAGGACCGCCTTGTCAATTCATAGATTGATACAGCACAGTAAAGGCCCTTGGGCCCATCAATTCTGCAGATGACACTAAAGTAGGTGGTACCGTGGACAGTGAGGAAGGTTATCAGAGATTGCAGCAGGATCTTGATCAGCTGGGGAAGTGGGCCGAGAAATGGCAAATGGGGTTTAGCATAGATAAGGGTGAGGTGTTACATTTTGGAAAGTCAACTCAAGGTAGGAGTTTCATGGTGAATGGTAGGGCCTTCAGGAGTTTGTTAGAACAGAGGGACCTTGTGAGTTCAGGTGCACAATTCTCTGAAAGTGGAATCACAGGTAGACAGGGTCAGTGAAGGAGATTTTGGCACACTGGCCTTCATCAGTCAGGGCATTGAGTGTAGAAGTTGGGGAGTTATGATGCATTTGTACAGGATGTTGGTGAGGCCGCACTTGGAATATTGTGTTCCGTTTTGGTCACCTTGCTATAGGAGGGATGTTCTTAAACTGGAAAGAGTGCAGAAGAAATTTACAAGGATGTTGCCAGGACTCAAGGGACTGAGTTATAGGGAAAGGTTGGACAAGCTAGGACTATTTTCTTTAGAGCATAGGAGACTGAGGAGCGATCTTATAGAAGTGTGTAAGATCATGAGAGGCATGGAGAGGGTGAATGCACCCAGCCTTTTTCCCAGGGTTGGGGAATCGAGGACTAGACGGCATCAGTTTAAGGTGAGAAGGGAAAGAATACATACCTGAGGGGCAACTTTTTTACACAGAGGGTGGTACGCATATGGAATAAGATGCCAGCGGAAGTAGTTGAGGCGGGTACATTAACAACATTTAAAAGGTATATGGATGAATACATGGATAAGAAATGTTTAGAATGATATGGGCCAAGTGCAGGGAAATGGGGTTAGACTAGATGGACATTTTGGTCGCCATGGACCAGTTTGGGCTGAAGGGCTTGTCTCCATGCTGTAGAACTCTATGACATAGCTACCATTAGAAGTGTGCTAATCCCAATTTCTCACTCTTGCCCCATATCCTTGAATGTTATGATGTTTGAAGTACTCATCCAAATACTTTTGAAGGCTGTAAGGCTTCCAGCCTTCACTACCTTCCCAGCCAGTGCATTCCAGATTCCCACCACCTGCTGAGTGAAAAGGTTTTTTCCCAAATTCCCTCTGAAATTCCGGCTCCTTACCCTAAAACTATGCCCCCTTGTGATTAACCCCTCAGTCAAGGGGAACAGCTGCTCTCTATTCACCCTGTCCATATCCCTCATAATCTTATACTCCTTAACCATGTTCCGCCTCAGTCGGTCTCTGTTCTAGAGTAAACAATCCAAGCTTATCTAGTCTCTCTTCATAGCTCAATTTCTCCATCCCAGGCAACATCCTGGTGAGCCTCCTCTCTCGCCCCCTCTCATGCTATCATATCCTTCCTGTAGTGAAGTGAACAGAACTGCACATAATACTCCAGCTGTGGCCTGACCAACATTCTGTACAATTCCAATATTACCTCATTGCTCTTATACTCTATGCCACGACTGATGAAAGCAAGTGTCCCATATGCCTTCTTAACTATCCTATTCACATACTCTGCCAACTTCAGGAATCTGTGAATAATTATACCAAGATCCCTCTGTTCCTCTAAGCTATCCAGTGTCCATCCATTCATTAAATACTCCCTCATCTTGTTTCCTCTTCCAAAGTGCATCACCTCACATTTATCAGGGTAAAATACCACTGGTCTGCCTATCCGACCAGCCCATCTGTATCTTCCTGTAACCTATAACTATCTTTTTTGCTATTAACCACTCTACCAATCTTGGTGTCATTCACAAATTTGCTTAACATTCCCCACCCCCACCCCCATTTTCATCTATATCACTTATGTAAATAACAAACAATAAGGGTCCTAGTACTGATCTTTGTGGTACACTGTTGGACACTGGCCTCCAGTCACTCAAACAGCCTTCTACCACTACCCTTTGTGTCCTATTACTAAGCCAGCTTCTGATCTATCTCGCCAGGTTTCCCTTAATTCCATGTGCTTTAACCTTCCCAATCAGCCTCTCACGTGGGACCTTGTCAAAAACTGTCCTAAATTCCATATAAACTATATCAACAGAATTCGCTCATCCACACACTTGACCACATTTTCAAAATTCTAACAGATTTGTGAGGCATGACCTCTGTTTGACTAAGCCATGCTGACTATTCCTAATTAACCCTTTGCAAGTGGGGATTAATTCGCTCCTTCAGAATTTTCTCTAATAGTTTCCCCACCACTGAAGTGAGGCTCATCAATCTGTAACTTCCTGGTTCATCTCTATCACCTCGCCTAAAAAGTGGAACCACATTAGCCTTCCCCCAGTGTTCTGGCACTTTCCCTGTGGTCAGAGAGGAATTAAAAGAAGGGGCAGTGAAAGGGACTCATGCCTAGCCACCAGGCCCATGACCCATGATGAAGCATTTAACAAGAAGGACTGTAAAGCTGGACACTTTCTTTATTTCTTCATCTGCCTTGTTGATGCAGAAGCTGCCAGGAACCCAAACCTGCCTCCGTCACTGCCGCCATGAGTCTGCGCTGCTGGGCCCACTCACCACTGATGCTGTTAGAACATAGAACATGGAACAAAGAACATAGAACATAGAACAGTACAGCAAAGTACAGGCCCTTCGGCCCACGATGTTGTGCCGACCTATTATCCTACTAAGATCAATCTACCCTGCATACCCTACATTTTACTATCCTCCATGTGTCTATCCAAGAGTCGCTTAAAAGTCTCTAAAGTATCTGACTCCACTACCACTGCCAGCAGCGCATTCCACACACCCACCACTCTCTGTGTGAAGAACGTACCTCTGACATCTCCCCTATACCTTCCTCCAATCACCTTAAAATTATGCCCCCTCATAATAGTCATTTCTGCCCTGGGAAAAAGTCTCTGGCTATCCACTCTATCTATGCCTCTCATCATCTTGTACACCTCTATCAAGTCATCTCTCATCATCCTTCACTCCAATGAAAAAAGCCCTAGCTCCCTCAACCTTTGCTCATAAGACCTGCCCTCCAGTCCAGGCAGCATCCTGGTAAATCTTCTCTGCACCCTGTCTAAAGCTTCCACATCTTTCCTGTAATGAGGTGACAAGAACTGAACGCAATATTCCAAATGTGATCTAAGCAGAGTTTTATAGAGCTGCAGCATAACCTCGCGGCTCTTAAACTCAATTCCTCTGCCAATGAAAGCCAACACACCATACGCCTTCTTAACAAACCTATCAACTTGGGTAGCAACTTTGAGGGGATCTATGGATGTGGGCCCCAAGATCCCTCTATTCCTCCACACTGCCGAGAATCCTGCCATTAACCCTGTATTCTGCATTCAAATTCGACCTTCCAAAATGAATCACTTCACAATTTTCCGGGTTGAATTCCATCTGCCACTTCTTTGCCCAGCTGTGCATCCTGTCAA